TAATCCGGATCTTCACGGGTAAAGGAAACAAACACGCACTATAATTTATTTCATTATTACCTATTAGTGGTGATTTATTTATTTACTAATTCATCTGAGATGAGGTGAGGTGAAATTGGGTTCAACGTCGTACTTGAGAATATTTCGCTCATATGACGACGTGCATGCGTGTGTATGTGTATGTGCGGCTGCTTGTACTAGCCCAGACTTAAGCTGGTTTTATAGTGCTAGCTCACTGAGATACCATGCCGCAGTGAAGCATGAATATATATATCCCACTCAGACACATTATACTGACTCCGAGCCGACCAGTCCTTGTTGCACCCATTAATGCCGAGCGCCAGGCAGGGACCAACAAGTACCATATTTTAACGTCTTTTGGTATGACGCGGTCGGGGATCGAACCCGCGACCTTCCGCTCTCCGGGCGGACGCTCTAACCACTACACCACGGAGGCGGTCGAGATTTGGTTAATAGATGTAAAGTACTAATTCATCTGAAGGCGCGGGGGTGAGTGAACACTCCCCACCTTTCTCCCTCTAAGTCCGCCCTTGGGCGTTCAGGCTTGGTGACCTCATGGTGTATACTCGTAATGTCAACCACTGGTTTGTCTGTCCGATTGTCTCGGTCGTTAACAGATCCCCGTGATACAGCTGGAATACTGCTGACTAAGGAGTTTTTTTTCAGAATAAAGAACATAAAACAATGCATGTAACATTCTCGTCGTCAATCGTGCAAACCCTGCGATCGGTTTATGTACAGCCGCCTACCATTTTCTTTTATCAAAGAACTTGATACGTGTCTTGCGAGTCTGGTAGGCGTTATGGCATATAGATGGTTACTAATGAGGCCGACATATGATTGACTACGATAACAGGGAATAGATTCATGAATGATATTAATCTCATATCTCTTTAGTCCAGCAGTAGCTGGTTAGAACCTATCGCATCTAGATTACCCGTGGCTCGGGACTTTCAAATGAAACATTGTATACTGTACGCCAGGATTGCTAGATGCCATGGAAATTATTTGTGCGCAAAAACCCAATATATCTTCGGCTACGTGTTGCAAAACTGATATTCTGAAGAATTTAACGATTCATTTATTTATGTACAGGGTTGGGATTGAACAGATATTTATGGAATGGATTGGAGCAAAAATACATTAATATACTCATGCCAATAATGGTTGTCACCCCCTTCAATTTTTTTTATTGGAGAGGGGGTTTGGGACAGGTGTGTGGGGTTGGGGTGGGAAGGGGGGTGACAACCATTATTGGCATGGGTATATTAACATTATTTTCCCTACTGCCTAGCCCTCCCTGTGTTGCTAAAGCCCTAGATGAAGCAAGTCTAGATTACCCCAGGTTCCTGAACCACATTATTTTCCCTGTGTTGCTGAGGCCCTAGATGAAGCAAATCTATATTACCCCAGGTTCCTGAACCACATTATTTTCCCTACTGCCTTGCCTTCCATGTAATGCTAAAGCCCTAGATGAAGCAAGTCTAGATCTCCCAAATAACTTGGACTCCTTTTCAATTTAAATGGGTTTATTTGTTACTATCAAAATTATATATATTCAGGCACTAAGCGTTAGTCAAAGGCCAGTGTTATCTTTCTTTACTGTGATAAGTGGTTGTATCATTTATTACAGCTACTGATGCACATTTACATGTATGATGACATATCAGGTTGTGTTGCCGGGCCTTCAAATGAATGCTTGTTTGTTAATACGTTCAGGGCAATTAAAAAATGGCAGTGAAGCATCACTTCTGTTTTTGAAACACAACTAAGGTAATGGTTTTTTTCCAACGATGCAGTCATCATTATTCCACTATTCTTTTTATACCACTGTTTATGTAAACAAACATCGACCTAGTGCGAGCAAACCAACACAGACAGTGCACCTTGTCTCCCTCTCAGACAGGTCAGACATGGTATATAACTGACCCTAAAGACAACAATATGCATCGAGTATAAGTGCTTATGACCTGTTCACACCACAGCTAGAGTTCAGAACAACCAAATGTATGTTATGTTTTTGTTGAAAATAAACAATACCGATAACAAATGCCCATCGCCTTATGTGACAACAAGATGGCTGTGAAACATACCTGTTTACAAATATACAAACAGTGAAACATCGCCTGATCACGTCACGCTACTGGTGAGGCTGTGACCTTCCGGTCTCGTGACGTCGGTCCAGTTTCCGATTTCTGATGGAGGAAATTATTCTGCCTATCGTATGATAATAAGCGACTTTCATTGGATCATCATACACAGAGGACTGAAAGTAAATAGTGTCTGACATCTAAACGGAATGTGATATTCGGAAATTGTACTTCCGATGATTTCACTGTGTATATAGATACGTATTTGTTTTACACAAATATGTTTAAGCGGTATTTCTCCCTGATGTTTCAACATATATGTTCATTTATATGATTATACGAACGTTGTTGTACAAAAGTCATTTTCGCTTATGTTCTAAAACGTCATAATATTCTCGATGCTCGATGCTCACACAAACATTTCTTCTAAATTTCCCGCACAAACTCGTTTTGTGACTTTTCTTCTGGATGTTCACACAGATAGGTGTTTGGGACAGTGTCTTCTCGATGCTTACATATATAGGTGTTAGGGACAGTGTTTTCTCGATGCTTACATAGAGAGGTGCTTGGGACAGCTTCTTCTCGATGCTTACATATATAGGTGTTTGGGACAGTGTCTTCTCGATGCTTACATAGAGAGGTGTTTGGGACAGTGTCTTCTCGATGCTTACATAGAGAGGTGTTAGGGACAGTTTCTTCTCGATGCTTACATATATAGGTGTTTGGGACAGTGTCTTCTCGATGCTTACATGGATAGATTTTGGGACAGTTTCGGTTGGAACCTGAGTATACAAGACCAGCGTCCTGATCCGGACAAACATCCAGTGTATAAATATCTAGGATCCTTTAGTACTGGACACCAGTGCCTATTTTGTTGATTTGTGTAACTGACCAATATTCCAGCTCTATAGACCTGACCTGACCACCCGATCCATTTAGCATATATTGCTGGGCCCCTTTGCAGCCCGTTGAATGTGCTGGGACCATTTGCTGCCCGTTGAATGTGCTGGGAACCATTTGCAGCCCGTTGAATTTGCTGGGAACCCTTTGCAGCCCGTTGAATTTGCTGGGACCCTTTGCAGCCCGTTGAATATGCTGGGACCCTTTGCAGCCCGTTGAATGTGCTGGGAACCCTTTGCAGCCCGTTGAATTTGCTGGGACCCTTTGCAGCCCGTTGAATTTGCTGGGACCCTTTGCAGCCCGTTGAATGTGCTGGGAACCCTTTGCAGCCCGTTGAATTTGCTGGGACCCTTTGCAGCCCGTTGAATTTGCTGGGACCCTTTGCAGCCCGTTGAATGTGCTGGGAACCATTTGCAGCCCGTTGAATTTGCTGGGACCCTTTGCAGACCGTTGAATTTGCTGGTTACCCTTTGCAGCCCGTTGAATATGCTGGGACCCTTTGCAGTACGTTGAATGTGCTGGGACCCTTTGCAGTACGTTGAATGTGCTGGGAACCCTTTGCAGCCCGTTGAATGTGCTGGGACCCTTTGCAGCCCGTTGATTATATGTTTCAATTGGTCTATATTGGTGCCTATGTACTTGGTATAAACAGGATCAACCGATATTTGTGCCTGGTCTGACAAAAAGCGAATGTAGCGTTACTCTCTATAGACCCTGTTCAGGTACGGCGCTCCGTTGCACAAAGCGATCCTAGTGCAAAGGTGGTAGCAACTCCCTTCCCTAACAAAGACTACGACTAGCGTAGCGATACAATAGCATTGTTGAATGGAGCCCAGCAGTACGTAGCACCGCGGTAGCTGTGTGAGGCTCTTGGTACAGAACACAATGAGCAAATCATGTCCACTTTAACAAAATAAATCCACTAAAGCTGAAACAATGGTGATTATCACTTCGCAGCTAACGAAGACTATGTCTCTGAACATATGTCATTTAGATACAAATGAACTCCATTTAAATACAAAAAGCAGTCCCAGTGTGATGGGAGATTCAGAACGTTAGGAACATCTAACTTGTATCGGCAAGGGGAGACTAACGCTTAGTCTCTGAATGTGTATAATTTTGATAGTAACAAATAAACCCATTTAAATTGAAAAGGAGCCCTAGTGAGTTGGGAGACTCAGAACCTGAACCTGAGGAAATCTAGACTTGCTTCATTTTAGGGCTTTAGCACTGTAGGGAGGGCTAGGCAGTAGGGAAAATAATGTGATTCGGGGACTGTGACTACGGCCAGGGCTTTAGCATTGGGCTTGGCGGAAGGGAAAATAATGTGGCTCCGGGACTGTGAGGCAGACTAGGGCAAGCGGACACACGTTTATTTTTTCGAAATGCCCTCGCTGACTTTCCGAGGAGGAAGTAAGCTGAAATAAAACTGTCAGATCCGGGATATCTTGTCATATGCCACGTAAGCAGGACAGCAGGAATGTTCCTTGTTTTTTAAAAAGAATGTGAACAGAATAGACGACTTGGTCCTTCGCCTTGTCAGTATGTTCATCGTTATCACTCAGAACAATACTAACTGATTTTGAAAAAAAACCGATACTGATTTTGTTCTCCTCATGTTTTATGTTTCACATGTGTGTCTCGATGTCACCATGGCAACCGAAACACCACGAGTAAGGTTGGCATTGGTTGTTCGTGGTATACAGTGAAGCGACAGGGAACTTGTAATTCATAAGGTGGGGTGGGGAGCGATTGTAAAATATTTTGCTGACACCCGCAATCCGCAATGTTTTGTAACAGTTTGTATTGGAACTACCAAATGCATGTAACATCTTGTCATGACCCCGCCGTTTTATAATAGTCCCTCAAATTTATTACTTAGATATGTTTCATAAAGTATAACGTGTTTATTCTTAAAAACTGGAACTGCGCCGCTCCCTCCCTCTTTCTCTGTCTCTCCCTCTCTCTTTACTCTTTCTCCCTCCCCACTCATTCCCCCTTCCTCCTCCTCTCTCTCGCCCTCCTTCTTCTGACTCTCTCTTTCCCTCTATTCCCACTCATTCTCCCTCCCTCCTCCTCTCTCTCACCCTCCTTCTTCTGACTCTCTTTCCCTCCATTCCCACTCATTCTCCCTCCCTCCTTCTCCTCTCTCTCGCCCTCTCTCTCTCCGCCCTTCTCTCTCCCCCTCCTCCTCTCTCTCCCTCCTCCTCTCTCTCGCCCTCTCTCTCTCGCCTCCTCCCTCTCGCCTTCTCTCTCCCTCCTCCTCTCTCTCGCCCTTTCTCTCCCTCCTCCCTCTCCCGCCCTCTCTCTCCCCCTCCTTCTCCTCTCTCGCCCTCCCTTCTTCTGACCCTCTCTATCCCCCTGTCTCTCCATTCCTAGCCCCTACAAACCCCCCTCTCTCTCTCTCTCTCTCTCTCTCTCTCTCTCTCTCTCTCTCTCTCTCTCTCTCTCTCTCTCTCTCTCTCTCTCTCTCTCTCTCTCTCTCTCTCTCTCTCTCTCTCTCTCTCTCTCTCTCTCTCTCTCTCTCTCTCTCTCTCTCTCTCCCAATATTCTCAAATAACCGTGAATCAGCCGTGGACTCCGACGACATGGAGGACTGGAGGACTCAGGACAGCTGTGTGACTATAGGCCGTTGCTCCCAGCAGGGTCTGCCAGTGCAGGTATTATGGTATTCCGAAAGGCACATCATCCGAGACACGGCCTGCATGTCAAACAGTCCACGTGACAAACTCCACACTGAAAAAAGATGTCAGAATGCCACAAGTATATATTCAGGATGTTAATTGTTTTTAATTTTAACATTCCCGTATCGCGAGGTTAGCACATCAACGAAGATGAAAGTAAAAGAATGTCTTTTCTCGGTCTTAAGTTGTTATTTTGTAAGGCCTAAATAATAGGCGTCCCTACTGACTTTGAACATATATGTTATGCACCTAGTTTGTGAGAAGCTTAAATTACAATTGTCCTTCACTACAGCAAGACTGACTGACTGACTGACTGACTGACCCATCCATGCACCCACCCACCTACTCACTCACTCACTGTCCTTCACTACAGAAAGAGCAAGGTTTTCGTACAGTTCTAGACCATACACTCACTCACTCACTCACTCACTCAATCACCCACTGGCCTTCACTATAGCAAGATTTAGATCAAGCTTTTTTTACAGTTCTACACCACGTACGCACGCAAGCACGCAAGCACGCACGCTAGTCTGTCTCACAGTCCCTGAACCACATTATTGTCCCTACTGCCAAGCCCTCTTTGCAGTGCTAAAGCCCTAAATAAAGCAAGTCTAGATTTCCTCAGGTTCAGGTTCTGAATCTCTGGTCTCCCTGGGGCTCCTTTTCAATTTAAATGGGCTTGTTTGTTACTATCAAAATTATATATATTCAGAGACAACGCCTTAGTCTAGCACGCACGCACGCACGCACGCACGCTCGCACGCGCGCACATCCCCGGCCTCAAGTACACGTGAGATATGGAAGTCGTATAAGCAGCCTTTGGTCTTTGAAGATTCAAGACCGATACATCACACAGTGCAATCCCCAAGGCCGTAACGCAGTTAATAGTTCGGAAACCCCGACAGCCGGGAGATTAACATTCGGAAATACTCGGCGGCACGAGTCGTTATTCAGGATATACGTCAAAACGGATGATTTCAATCCGGATTTCTATGGGAACTTTACCGTCCAGATTATCGGAGTTTCACACTATTAGTATTCTGAAGGCGTAGAGTTTATCACCCTTTACCTTGACCAGATCCACTGCAAGATATGTACGTGGGTGTATGTAGTAATGCATGGGTTTGGGCTAATGCATTACATAGGCTGGGAATTAGAGTAAACGGATCATAAGTAATCGCTTATCATGAAAGTATGCCACTGTATATCCTTCATTAATGAATACCACAATATACTCGAACAGAAACGTACCATGTATATATTGCAGTGACTTAAGCAATTTTATAATAAGCTTAGAGAAAATGGAACGAAACGAATCATGACAAGGGTAAGTTAACGTATCATATCAGCAGTGTTATGAGACCCTATGTTCCACATGCCGACGTCACAGATTACCGGAACCTCGTTAACCCGGACGGCAGCGTTCGCTTGCATTCTCCCGGATTAACAGATTTCTGGGTAAACAAATCCTGGGTAAGTATGATTTAGAGTTTATTTCACACTCCGAGGCATTTATGACGTGGCGTTTACGTCACCGTCATGAGCTAATTTGCATAGAACTTGACCGAATTTTTCTCTTGTTTGTAAACAATTGGGCGTATGGAGAGGTCAGAGCAGTCGACGGGAACAAAAGTCTTCATCGCGTTTTACAGAATTTAAGACATACCGACAGACAGACAGACAGACGCCGGATTAGAGGGCGTATAAATGATCATAAATTAACTAGCTTCTGCCGGGACCAACTTCTAGTGCTGATATTGAGAGCATGCCGGATTGGAGGGCTGCCGGTTTAGAGGGCTTTCACTTTATATACCTTTAGTAACATAGTTCTATGTTGAAGGTGACGAATAACATAATATGGCTTTACACGTAAATTGACTTAAAGCAAAAAATTCAGTGGGTGGTCGCGGGTGGATGTGGGTGTAGGGATGTGGGGTGTTTGTCGGTGTCTTCTCTTTGTGAGTACAATTTGGTAAGCTCTTCTCTGGCGTTTCAAGCCGGTGCTGGAATATTGCTAAAAAAGGCGTAAAACAATACTCACTCTATGACTGCTCGTGTTACAACTAAAATCAAGCAACTAAAACCAAGCAGAGAGGCGCCATGAAAATAGTGTTTATGTTATACTGAATTTTTTCAATGAAAGTTAACAATTTCATGGAATACTTTCAAATTTAAATGGACGGTGAAGATGTATAACTTGTCGAGTGGACAGTGGACGTCAGGAAGTGTATGGTGTGACGTCGGGAGATTAATTATTCAGACAGCGCTGGAGTCAGATGCAACACCTTGTGTCTGACTGAACATAAGCCTTGGTGAAGGCCTATGGCTCTAATGCGCTGTGTAAAAGACTAGGCCGCAGATTATATTATTCAGACAGCGCTGAGTCAGATGCAACACCGCAGCTCTCATGTTATCTGACTGACGACAATATTCCAGAAATATGGTATCACCCATGCATGCTGGGGCTTCGGCGTGACGAGCCAACGCTTTAACCATTAGGCTACCCTATAACCGCTTATTGCCTGATTGCCACAGCTCTCATACTTTTAACATAGACTTATGATTGCCACAGCTCTCATACTTTAACATAGGATTGCCACAGCTCTCATGTTATGATTGCCGCATTATGATTGCCGCAGCTCTCATACTTTAACATAGACTTATGATTGCCGCAGCTCTCATACTTTAACATAGACTTTGCCAGGCTTTAACACAGACCTCATACTTTAACATAGACTATGATTGCCGCAGCTCTCATATTTAACATGACTTATGATTGCCACAGCTCTCATACTTTAACATAGACTTATGATTGCCACAGCTCTCATACTTTAACATAGACTTATGATTGCCACAGCTCTCATACTTTAACATAGACTTATGATTGCCACAGCTCTCATACTTTAACATAGACTTATGATTGCCGCAGCTCTCATACTTTAACATAGACTTATGATTGCCGCAGCTCTCATACTTTAACATAGACTTATGATTGCCGCAGCTCTCATACTTTAACATAGACTTATGATTGCCACAGCTCTCATACTTTAACATAGACTTATGATTGCCACAGCTCTCATACTTTAACATAGACAGCCACAGCTCTCATACTTTAACATAGACTTATGATTGCCACAGCTCTCATACTTTAACATAGACTTATGATTGCCGCAGCTCTCATACTTTAACATAGACTTATGATTGCCGCAGCTCTCATACTTTAACATAGACTTATGATTGCCGCAGCTCTCATACTTTAACATAGACTTATGATTGCCACAGATTGCTTCATCGTTGATGTATGACAATCACAGCTCCCACGCCTCAGCCAAAACTCTCTATAGAGATATAGTTGTAATATCGTATTCACGATATTCCGTTTCATTTTCAGACGAGATGATTGTCCAAGACGATTAAAGATAAAATCCATCGATAATTCTGACAAATATTAATTTCCACGACTCCTGATGGTCAACATGCCCAGAAATACAGGCAACCAACTCCATTGCAATAATCATCAGAAATCCACTGTAGGCTTCTGGCTGTATCAAAGGCGTATTTGTATGCGCCACTGCTAAACAGACCACGTACTCGCTATATTGAGGCTTATATATGGCAACTAATGGGATCGGGTGGTCAGGCTCGCTAACTTTGTTGACACATTTTGTCCATCCATCAAACTATAAATTTTCTTCTCTATTGAATTGTTTAAATGAATTTGTAATTCAAAATGTTGCGGTTTTCATTTATCAAGCCATGTTGATACAAAAATTGTAAATATGGAATGTTCTATAGGCCGGTGGCCTCCTCAGTACTGAAATAAAGATTGATAGAAAGATTCATATATATTTGACACGTAATTTTAATCCAATCGCGTAGATCAATGCTCTTAATGTTAATCTCTGGATTATCTGGTATAAACTGGCTCGTCTACTGGCCACAGCCATCTAGATGGAACATTTCAGAGTGCAGCGTTAAACAAACATATGAACAAACAGACGAACGATCGAGCGAACCTGTGAGTGAGTGAGTGAGTGAACAGTCAACGAAGTTGGCAATCTCGGCTATATCAGACAGTAATAACATGCATTGTGGGGGTTATATGCCAGGTACGCACCTGCTATGAGGTTTGTGTTTGTAGTTGACCACAGTTAACCTTTTGCTGGCCAGCCTGACAATACTCACGTCAGCAGCCTTTATTTATAAATACTCCAGAACACAAGGTGTGTACTGCAAATTTAAAACAAATGTTGAATGTCCAGTTATCATCTTATTCATTATTGATTATTATTATAATTATATTTAAGCACATATTTATCTTATTTCTCTTCCTCACCCTTCTCCCTCCCCACTCTCTCTCTCTCCCTCGTTACTTTTTCTTTCTCTCCCCTACTCCCCTCTTTCTATCCCTCTCTCTTTTTCCTTTCTCCCCTTCTCCCTCCTTCAAGGGCTCCCTCTCTCTTTCTCCCCCCACTCTCTCCCTCTCTCTATGGGCAAAACAAACCAGTGATTGATATCATGAGCAACCCCTACGTCAAGATGCTATCGTGACCAACCACCCGATCAAACATTACGTAGCGTCTTACGTCACGAGAACTGCGGGCCTCCACCTGGGAGTTGAATGGGCACAATCCCACGCAATGATGCTGTCTTATGATGTAAAGAGGGACTGATCACGTGACACGTGACATGACCCACAAGGAACACGTGACATGGACAAAACGGGCGGTCAGACCACTCTTATGCAAGAGATCTGACGCACAAGCGAGAAATGGGACAGGCAAATACGCAGGTGAGCGTGCACTCTCCGCGTCATCTGAATCAACACAAAACCCATGACACAGCATCATATTCACGGGAGATTGAAGGGGTCGTTGATAAGAAAGCCATTTACGTTTCAGAATGTAGGAAAGTAACCAAGTAAACTATAGGCTATAGCACAGAACCCAGTACCTTGATTAGTCTAGTCCCCAACCCTACATTTAAACCAGAGACCACATAATCTGTATATATTATATGGTCTCTGCTGAAACCAATTCCTGATAATTTAATTGCTGACCGTTGCGTAATAAAGTTCACTGTGTATGCTGGGGCGGTGGGACAGTCAAGCGGGTAAAACGTGCCTTGATGTTGCGTAAAAATCCGACTCACTTATTCATACACAGCAAATCATATGATTCTCTGTCCAAAGAAACGTACCTGGGTAAGACTTCCTCCCGTATCCACCCTAAATTTCAGGTAATAGGATTTGACTTTTAGGGGGAATACGGACGGAAATCTTTCCGGACCACCGATACAGGTCAGGTAGAATCCTATAAGGACCACCGATACACGTCAGGTAGAATCCTATAAGGACCACCGATACACGTTAGGTAGAATCCTATAAGGACCACCGATACACGTCAGGTAGAATCCTATACGGACCACCGATACACGTCAGGTAGAATCCTATACGGACCACCAATACACGTCAGGTAGAATCCTACAAGGACCACCGATACACGTCAGGTAGAATCCTATAAGGACCACCGATACACGTCAGGTAGAATCCTATACGGACCACCGATAAACGTCAAGTAGAATCCTACAAGGACCACCGATACACGTCAGGTAGAATCCTACAAGGACCACCGATACAGGTCAGGTAGAATCCTACAAGGACCACCGATACAGGTCAGGTAGAATCCTATAAGGACCACCGATACAGGTCAGGTAGAATCCTACAAGGACCACCGATACAGGTCAGGTAGAATCCTATAAGGACCACCGATACACGTCAGGTAGAATCCTACAAGGACCACCGATACACGTCAGGTAGAATCCTACAAGGACCACCGATACACGTCAGGTAGAATCCTACAAGGACCACCGATACACGTCAGGTAGAATCCTACAAGGACAACTGATACAGGTCAGGTAGAATCCTATAAGGGCCACCGATACACGTCAAGTAGAATCCTATAAGGACCACCGATACAGGTCAGGTAGAATCCTATAAGGACCACCGATACACGTCAAGTAGAATCCTATAAGGACCACCGATACACGTCACGTAGAATCCTATAAGGACCACCGATACACGTCAGGTAGAATCCTATAAAGACCACCGATACACGTCAAGTAGAATCCTATAAGGACCACCGATACACGTCAAGTAGAATCCTATAAGGACCACCGATAAACGTCAGGTAGAATCCTATAAGGACCACCGATACACGTCAGGTAGAATCCTATAAGGACCACCGATAAACGTCAAGTAGAATCCTACAAGGACCACCGATACAGGTCAGGTAGAAGCCTACAAGGACCACCGATACAGGTCAGGTAGAATCCTATAAGGACCACCGATAAACGTCAGGTAGAATCCTACAAGGACCACCGATACACGTCAGGTAGAATCCTATAAGGACCAACAACACACGTCAGGTAGAATCCTATAAGGACCACCGATACAGGTCAGGTAGAATCCTACAAGGACCACCGATACAGGTCAGGTAGAATCCTACAAGGACCACCGATACACGTCAGGTAGAATCCTACAAGGACCACCGATACACGTCAGGTAGAATCCTACAAGGACCACCGATACACGTCAGGTAGAATCCTACAAGGACAACTGATACAGGTCAGGTAGAATCCTATAAGGGCCACCGATACACGTCAAGTAGAATCCTATAAGGACCACCGATACACGTCAGGTAGGATCCTATAAGGACCACCGATACACGTCACGTAGAATCCTATAAGGACCACCGACACAGATCAGGTAGAATCCTACAAGGACCACCGGTACACGTCAGGTAGAATCCTATAAGGACCACCGATACGTCAGAGTAGAATCCTATAAGGACCACCGATACGTCAGGGTAGAATCCTATAAGGACCACCGATACACGTCAGGTAGAATCCTATAAGGACCACCGATACACGTCAGGTAGAATCCTATAAGGACCACCGATACAGGTCAGGTAGAATCCTATAAGGACCACCGATACACGTCAGGTAGAATCCTATAAGGACCACCGATACACGTCAGTAGAATCCTATAAGGACCACCGATACACGTCGGGTAGAATCCTATAAGGACCACCGATACGTCAGGTAGAATCCTATAAGGACCACCGATACACGTCAGGTAGGATCCTAAGGACCACCGATACACGTCAGGTAGAATCCTATAAGGACCACCGATACGTCAGGTAGAATCCTATAAGGACCACCGATACACGTCAAGTAGATCCTATAAGGACCACCGATACGTCAGGTAGAATCCTATAAGGACCACCGATACACGTCAGGTAGAATCCTATAAGGACCACCGATACACGTCAGGTAGAGATCCTATAAGGACCACCGATACACGTCAGGTAGAATCCTATAAGGACCACCGATACGTCAGGTAGAATCCTATAAAGGACCACCGATACACGTCAGGTAGAATCCTATAAGGACCACCGATACACGTCAGGTAGAATCCTATAAGGACCACCGATACACGTCAGGTAGAGATCCTACAAGGACCACCGATACACGTCAGGTAGAATCCTATAAGGACCACCGATACACGTCAGGTAGAATCCTATAAGGGACCACCGATACACGTCAGGTAGAATCCTATAAGGACCACCGATACACGTCAGGTAGAATCCCATAAGGACCACCGATACACGTCAGGTAGAATCCTATAAGGACCACCGATACACGTCAGGTAGAATCTCTATAAGGACCACCGATAAGGACGATACACGTCAGGTAGAATCCTATAAGGACCACCGATACCGATACACGTCAGGTAGAATCCTATAAGGACCACCGATACACGTCAGGTAGAATCCTATAAGGACCACCGATACACGTCAGGTAGAATCCTATAAGGACCACCGATACACGTCAGGTAGAATCCTATAAGGACCACCGATACACGTCAGGTAGAATCCTATAAGGACCACCGATACACGTCAGGTAGAATCCTATAAGGACCACCGATACACGTCAGGTAGAATCCTATAAGGACCACCGATACAGATCAGGAGAATCCTACAAGGACCACCGATACACGTCAGGTAGAATCTATAAGGACCACCGATACACGTCAGGTAGAATCCTATAAGGACCACCGATACACGTCAGGTAGAATCCTATAAGGACCACCGATACACGTCAGGTAGAATCCTATAAGGACCACCGATACACGTCAGGTAGAATCCTATAAGGACCACCGATACACGTCAGGTAGAATCCTACAAGGACCACCGATACACGTCAGGTAGAATCCTATAAGGACCACCGATACACGTCAGGTAGAATCCTATAAGGACCACCGATACACGTCAGGTAGAATCCTACAAGGACCACCGATACGTCAGGTAGAATCCTATAAGGACCACCGATACACGTCAGGTAGAATCCTACAAGGACCACCGATACACGTCAGGTAGAATCCTATAAGGACCACCGATACACGTCAGGTAGAATCCTATAAGGACCACCGATACACGTCAGGTAGAATCCTATAAGGACCACCGATACACGTCAGGTAGAATCCTATAAGGACCACCGATACACGTCAGGTAGAATCCTATAAGGACCACCGATACACGTCAGGTAGAATCCTATAAGGACCACCGATACACGTCAGGTAGAATCCTATAAGGACCACCGATACACGTCAGGTAGAATCCTATAAGGACCACCGATACACGTCAGGTAGAATCCTATAAGGACCACCGATACACGTCAGGTAGAATCCTATAAGGACCACCGATACACGTCAGGTAGAATCCTATAAGGACCACCGATACAGTCAGGTAGAATCCTATAAGGACCACCGATACACGTCAGGTAGAATCCTATAAGGACCACCGATACACGTCAGGTAGAATCCTATAAGGACCACCGATACACGTCAGGTAGAATCCTATAAGGACCACCGATACACGTCAGGTAGAATCCTACAAGGACCACCGATACACGTCAGGTAGAATCCTATAAGACCACCGATACGTCAGGTAGGTCCTATACGGACCACCGATGCGTCAAGTAGATGGACCACCGATACACGTCAGGTAGAATCCTATAAGGACCACCGATACACGTCAACTAAAGTGGCGATGGTGGCTGGGTGGATGTGTCATGTACAAAAGGATCATAATAAACCCGTTGGGCGAGCTATCCATGCAATTAATTTGGGATTCGAACCCACGATCCAAGGTCTGAGGTACCCTTCAGGGACTCCAAGCTTTGTCCCTGTTCTGCATATCATCGTTACATTTTATATTCTCTGAATACTACACCGAAATCCTAAGTATATACACTGATATCGCCATTGCAGCCATTGCTTATACATTTCAGAAACTATCTGAACAGTGAATTTTTCATGCCCTACCATAGTCATGATAGTGTGGTAACACGTGTGTGAGATTACGATTATGACGAACCAGCCTGGCCCAGCGTCAGCCAACCCTACTGCAGATCGCACGCTAGTCTGTCTCACAGTCCCTGAACCAATTATTTTCCCTACAGCCTAGCCTTCCCTGTAGTGCCAAAGCCCTAAACGAAGCAAGTCTAGATTTCCCCAGGTTCTGAATCTCTGGTCTCCCTAGGGCTCCTTTTCAATTTAAATGGGCTTGTTTGTTACTATCAAAATTATATATATATTCAGAGACTAAGCCTTAGTCTAATGGCACGCAAGAAGCACCGCCTGGGACGGTTCTTGCAATCTATGGAGCATGTGAAGGGCCACATTCCACAGAGTGCATGTATCTATTATGAGCGCAGGACGGCTTGGGTTACAAGAATTGCATCAGCACGCCACATTTACCCCGCTGTAGCGCGATCACGCACGACCAGTGAACCGACTCATAAGCTCCGTGATATTTGATAACCCATTCGGAACCAGCACGCGTTCATGACACATACGCAACTTAAGTTTAACCATGAAATCTCTGAGAAGAAGATAAGCGTACAGAGATCGGTTGATATTTCTGATGTGTAAATGTGTTCTACGTCAGGTTTTCTGCGCAGATTCATCCCACGGAAACAAAGCATGATGTTCATGGAATTTCTCCCTTTTTATTCAGGTATACTACGATCAGTAAGGAGTACAATGCGTAATGGGCAGCTGACAGCTGCCGTATAAGGCTGACGTGGATAACGGGTTGATCCTTACACTATGGTAATTTTTAACGTAGCTTTGAAGACTTGTTTGTGACGTCACCGAGTGTCAGCTTGAGGTGCCGGGATCGAGCCCACCTGTGACCGGGTGTAAAAACCTTGGAGTCAACTTCGTGTGCAGACTCTTTCAGTGTTGTCACAACCCCTAGTGTACAGTGCGCAACCCTGTGCACTTAAAAGAACCCACAAATCCGTTGGTATATGACCAGATGGTGGCCACATGAATACGTGCAAACACCTAGTTGCGGGTACAGCAACGTGCCCGCGACCTTCCACTCTCCGGGCGGACGCTCTAACCACTACACCACGAAGGCGGTTATATTTTGTCCGATGTGCCAACGGATTTTCTGAACAGTAAATTGGATATTACGTCCAATTCTGTGTGATACACTCTACATCCCTATAATGTGTCAATAGTGTGATGTGTCCCGATCCACTAAACGTTCGTAACGTTACGATCGGTCGTAACTCTGTAGTTTAGCATAGACTTACGAATGTCGTAGCCCTACGAACGTTTTGTGGATCGGGATCCTATATATACACACATTAACAGGAGCAACAGGTGGCCCAGTCGATAAAGTTGCCCATCATAATTCAAGGACCTTGGTTCTACTCCAACCAATTTAGCGAACCTGGCCACCCGATCCCGCCAGTCGCCTCTTTCGACAAGTATGGGTCGCTGAAGACCAATTCTAACCCGGATCTTCACGGAGTTTAGAAGTGTACGCGTGTACTGTTAAGGAATGTTTATGGCCTTCGTCCATCCCTCAAAACGGTCTATTTGAATCTTTTTAATGGAAGCGTTAAATCACCCACCTCGCCCACATTAAGCTGGCTTGCAGTGGTATGACCACGACGGATCAAAACTAAAATTGGAGAACACACTCGATGTCATCGTATCGAGTAGATCTATGCCCGTGATGGTAATCACTGGATTTTCTGATTCGGACTCGGCTTTTTGCAGATCGCAATCATTTAGCTGAGTGCAGCCTTACACAACAAGCACACACATCAACGCTGTGTTACCCTGCGCACCTACATATCCTAAGTGAATGAGTGAGTTTGGCTTTACGCCGCTTTTAGCAATATTCCAGCATTATGCCGGCGGGGAACACCGGAAACGGGCTTATACCCATGTGGGGAATCGATCCCGGGTCTTCGGCGTGACGAGCGAACGCTTTAACCTCTAGGCTAACACCACCGCCCCGAATACCATAAGAGCCTAATGCCACAAAATGATTATATTTACAATATATGATGTCGTCAGCTAATACCCATGCATTCAGTAGAAAGATTATTTTATAGATAGAACATTTCTAAAAAAGAATGAGGTTGAGTGAGTGAGTAAGTGGTTGGGTGCATGAGTGGGTGAGTGAGGTCTCAGGCGTTTACCACTCTTGTAAAATCAGCTGTTACAGGTATGATACTGACAAACCTAGAAATATATACATCACCTCGAATCGAACTGTAACCATATGTTTCTGGTGTGCCACAGATGTTTCTGCTCAGCTAATTGCGGTGCCTTGAAGGACTGGACCCACCGTGCCCCTATATGATATATGATGACCCAGTAATTAGCATTGTCAGTTAACGTCAACCATACCCATGAATTCAGTTACAAGAATTTGTTTATAGATAAAATGTTTTTGAAAAGACCGAGCACCTTAAGACGTCTTCGAGACAGCTCAACAAGCGATTATCATTTTGAGCCCGCACTGAGCATGGGCTTCTATTGGCCGCACTTGTAATGTAATTAAGAAGTACTTAACCATCGTCTATCAGGTTTGCAAGTAGTGATTGTAGGGGTAGTGTAGTAGTGATTTATTTGGTGCGTGTGTGCCGATGAGGCACACCAATGATTTTAGCCTGTCTCACAATCCAGGAGACATATCTTTCCCACCATCAGTCCTGCTTTATTGTTATGCAATAGTAAGTGAGTGAGTGAGTTGGGTTTTACGCCGCTTCTAGCAATATTACAGCAATATCAGCGGGGTACACAAGAAAGAGGCTTCACACATTGTACCCATGTGGGATTTGGAACCCGGGTCTTCGGCGTGACGAGCGAACGCTTTAACCACTAGGCTACCCCACCGCCCCTGTTATTCAATAACTCAAATGAAGCAAATCTATATTTCCCACGGGTTTGTCTGAATCTCACTGTTGCTCATTTTAAACTGAAATGGCGTTCTTTATTTCTGCCCAAGTTGTATATGTTCAATGACTGGGCGTCAGACGGTAATGACCCTACAATGACGTCCTTTACGTCAGCAGCAACACCTCCACGACGATGTCTCATTAATAAAGAACGTGTTGCGAACACCCATTCATTCAGCAGAGAATAAATAAATATCGATCTTGATTAAGACATCAATACACATTCGTACAAATCAATATCAATACCTATCTGTGAACGTAGGTGTTCTGTATTAAAGTTCATCCCGAGATTTCTCGCGTCGATTTACGCTTAATGGTTGGGTAGAAAAGAAAACATGATATGATACTTTTTTCATTGATTGTCATTCTGAATTAACTATTATAAATAATTTATAATTATTTTTAGAACATATTCTGCTTTGCTAACTGTGTTGTTTGGTTGGATGCAAAAGAGGAAATTATCACCATGAGGCTTGCGCTATGATTCGTTTTATTTTGCCGGTATAGGTATTGGTAGTAACACCGGCATGTCACGTGACACGAACAAAGCACACGTTGTATGGATAAATGCTTCATTAAATATAATAACATGAAGGATTAGCATTCGTTAAATCAATCCACTGGAGCGTACCTGTAACAAGACATGTTCTGTGCTATCATACACAGTCAACGAGCGCTAGAGTTGCATATTATGATGTTTTTATCATAGAGTAATCGGAATCACCTATATAGCACATTGTCTTCCTACATGCATCGTCATTTCAGAGCACTCGGGAATCTCAGAGGAATATCGCATATTGTTACAATCATCCGAGGTAACTGGCCAATCACAGACGTTCAATTCGCCTCACGCGCTGTATCTGCGCATGCGTCCCGCGCACCTGTCTACAGACGGTGCGTCTGACAAATGCTCCATGTTGACATGGCGCAACATGCTTCCAATGTAGAAGCAAATATCGATCTCACGTTTTCTGCAGGTTATCACTTGTTGGGGATGCTGACGCTAGAGGGAGCTGTTAGCACAGTGGCGTGAGGCACGCGCGGAGCTCGAGCGATGATGCAATCTTTGACGATACGCAGTGTTAATGTCTCTGTGTTTAGCTTTCACCATCTGAGAACTATGGTAGTTCAGCAGGCAGGAGATGTTTTTGACGAAGAGAGTTCTAGAAACATGCCATGATGAGATGAGATTACAATCACCCACTTTCTTTCTTTATATTTATTATCTGCAAATAAGCAGTATCAATTAACAAGTCATGACTAAACAAAATATAAGAATTATCTTCCAAGTTCGTTCCAGTTCAGCAATGTCTTTTGCATACAACACAGGAAATGAGTTACCGTTATAAAAAAACACGACATTTATTATCATGTTGATAAGGTCAGGTGCAACCAGGAAGATCAGAACACGTGTAAGATAAACCGTTCTGGAGCGAAACTGATTTCCCTTCTAGCCCCGATTCTGTATTGAATATAGAAGGATGCAGTTACGAGGAAACGATTTCATTATTCATACACATACTGATATTAGGGGTGACAAAGGTCAGCCGTATAGTAATTAACGGTAAACATGCAATGAGGTCCTGTTTGTATTGCATTATTCCCACCAATGTTACCTGCTAAAAACTGAATGCCAATCGTGCATGTTCATCTTTTATAAAGTAGAATATATTTTCACAATAATTATATGCAGGGGAGATCCGCAGTATAGTTTTAATAAAAAAAGAAGACCGTTTACTCATTCAAAATTGTTCAGCACCATACAGGAGCCGTGACACGTGTGATTCTCCTATTTATTGTATATTAATGAGTTAAGTAATATTTCGGCCAATTGACCACCGGGTGGGGTTCGTGTTATATGTATTATTGAATATTGGTGTCATTATTGATATTGATGTTGGACACAGAAATCATCTTAATTGACAGACACATTCTCTATAAATGTATATGGTAGGCATCTTTTACGTGATGTGTCTATAAATAGCGAATAATTAGTATACCATATGACCATTACACATGCAGCATGCATCCCTGGGCCGCCCGAGTGCACGTTTGGTCATGTGATTATCAGAGTTCACTCGGCTCAACTCGGCTGCTTTCGCTACCTACAGAATAAACTGGGCTGCGCTTCACCAACTGCGTTCGATTTCTACCTGAATCACACGAGGTTAAAACAATTCTGGCAACCAGGGTTGACTTGATTCAACCTGTGTTAAGGTTGACTTGGTCGATGAATGACAAAGTATCCCAGATGCGTAGATCGATGCTTCGGATGTCAGTCACTGGATTGTCTGGTGCAGACTCGGTTAGGTCTGTTGTTTAACGCTGCATAGATTTTCAAATACACTGGATATCAGGAAATGAGTGCAATAAATGGTTTATTCTATTTTATTGTGTTTGTTTGTTGTTTAATGCCGTACTTAGCAACATTCCAGCTATATGTGGGCGGTCTGTAAATAATCTAGTCTGGACCAGACAATCCAGTTATCAACAGCATGAGAATCGATCTACGCAATATGTGTCAACCAAGTCCACCTGACCACCCGATCCCGTTAGTCGCCTCTTACGACTAGCATGGGGTATACTGAAGGCGTCTTACCCGGGTAGGAAGAGGCTAGGGTTTAGGTCAGGTTGATAAGTAGATATATTGATAGCTGGGGTAAGTATGGATACGTAGTAATTACACAATAAGATACTTAATGGTTAGCCGAACGCAGATGAACCTGCCCGATCAATGCACATTCACAGGGCCGATGCGCAGGGCCCATGTGTTTTACGGTTTATCAATTATTGCTGTAGTATGAGAGACTACAACAACGAGGTTGTCTGGGTGCAGCGTCATCGACGACCGTGACTTCGTGTACGGGCAGTGGTCGTATCAGCAGCATATGTATGCCTACCTGTGCAAATAACATCAAACGTACCGTTATGCATTACGTCGACAATCAAATTTAATTGGTTAAATGACCTTTTACGAAAAGGTTATAAAACACAAGTCACAATTAAGACCCTACTGTTTGACAGTCACCTTCCCAGTTTGTCATCACAGGTATTAAACATTTTAAATAAAAAATCACCATTTGCATCAAGACACACAAAACTTATGTGCAGAATGAATTTAAAGTAATTGCAAGATATTTTGGTTGAAACAATGAAAACCTGTGGTTGAAGAAAAAACAGTTAGTACGTTAACAAGAGAATCAACCGGTGAGGGTTATTTACACTGTAATATGTGTTGAAATGTAAACGCATACAAGAATTGTTTAGGTGTAAACATTTATAGGTATGTGTTTAAACCCTGGTCTTTTAGTTAAGCACCACGTCGTTTTTAGTGTGTATTTGAAGGTGGGTGGGGATAAATGCGCGTGTGTTGGGCGTGGGGGAGGGTTGTGTGGTGCAGGAGGGTTCTGAATGTACGAGTTTTTCCCACGTTTAGACCCGAAAAATGTTTAGCTGTTTAACACAATCCTGTACATGTTTACACCTAAACACGCCAGAATCGGTTAGAAGCGATACACATTTTCAATGGGTAGATCTAAATGTGTGACCTCCAACATTCCCGAGGACATGTATGTATACCCCAGGTCAGAGTCACAGTCTGACCCTCCGCCCAGGTGGGTCCAAAATAGACCGGACACACCCACGTAATCCCCAATCGGTCTATATACGATCTTATATACATATCAGGTGCTATTCCAAGAACATTCATCTTATGATTTGCTGAATCGCTGAAGCGAACGAGTGTTGCTTTATGCCGTTATAACAATTTTCAGTAATATCACATATGGGTCAAAGCACTGGAAAAAAGCTTCAAACATTTGGAAATCGTTAACCGAGCCGTGACGTCTTAAAACACAAGGCTAAACGCAGCCCCCAAGTCGTTTGAAGGATACAAAATCCCCTATAGTGCGGACACTGTTTGTCCGAAACCCATGTTCCAGACGATCCTCTTCGGAAAGTCTTTGATAATTCCATAGGAGATTACTGCTTGACAGCGATTCCTTCATGGAAAAATAATGTTAATCTGAAAATTTTCGTTAGGATTATCGAGGTTTTAAAGACGGAAAAACGGTCTGTAATCAGTGCTGTTGTTCGCCTCAATTCTGTACATGGGGAGTTAATTGATGAATAGAATATATGTATGTATATTAAAGTGCAGTGAAACGACGGCGTTCGTTGTATTACAACGTCATATCACTGATTATGGGTGATATATAGGCACTACGACGCCAGATGTCGGTGACAGCTGTCAGCCACCCACCCCTGCATCTACGTATACCACATCTCGTTGACAATATTACGGCGATGGGCTTAGACCTTAATTTATCTTTCGACAAATATCGATCTATCCTTACATTCATTGGTATATGGTCGTGTTGGAGTTGTGACTGTACACGTATTGGTATTTGGTATTTGTTTGGGTGAATTATTACAACAGAAGAAAACAGCGCCAGGTGACACATGCGCCTGGAACACTCCAACCAATTATTACAAATTATGCGACATAGAAGTCTAGCTTCAAGGATAAGCTAACATACATATGGTTGCATTTCAGCGCCATTGTACGTGTGGATGTTCCTGACTGTTGTCTACTGAACAAAAAATGAAAATGTTTGTATGTGGGTCTGAATAATATTATTTTCATGTCATTCTGTTTATCTCAATGTTTTTTTCGGTAAAACTGTAATAACACTGGGCCAATTTCCGTCGTCCACGCGATTCCGAATAACCTGCTCTTGGTTACCAACAGTCACTTTGATAGTCAAGCAGACTGACGGACCAATCAGAAAGGGAGTTACAAACCAGCCTCAATATCGGGTCAGCGATATTGACAAGATGGCGGCCAGTCCCGTTGAAAACGATAAATCAACCACTCCTCGACACGCAAAAGAAAGCCTTCGAAGATACTTTTGTTTTGTTTCTTTCTTCTTTAATGCCGCACTCAGCAATATTCCAGCTATATGACGGTGGTCTGTAAATAATGGTCTGGACCAGACAATCTTGTGACTGATAACCTGAGCTTTGTTTTAACCATTTGGGATGCATGCATCAATCAAGTCAACGATCCCATTAGTCTCCCGTTACGAAAAGCAAAGTTTGCAGAAGACAAAATTCTAATCCGGATATTCACGGGTAAAAATCTTTTTAATTGAAATTGTGTGTTCATGTCTATCAACCGACAGTCCTATTTCCTGTATCTCGGCGTTTGATTGGTCGAAATATGTTAATGAAAGTCAAAGGCTGATAGTTTGAGATTCTAAGATCCATGGGAATTTATCCATGGGTTAGTGCAGGTGTATTAAACTGCGAGCTCTGAAAATACAGAGGATGCATTCATGTTTGAATTAAAACCATTAAAACCACGTTAATAATTCATACTATCTCTAAATATCCATATCCGGTGTAAAGCAGGTCTACTTCGGGTGTAAGGAACAGATTATTCACACGTAATGGTAAAAGTACTAATTACACAGTCTGTAAAAAGAATTCCACAAAGTGAGTGAGTGAGTTTAGTTTTACGCCGCACTCAGCAATATTACAGCTATATGGCGGCGGTCTGTAAATAATCGAGCCTGGACCAAACAATCCAGTGATCAACAGCATGAGCATCGATCTGAGCAATTGGGATACGATGACATGTTGCCTGACCACCCGATCCCGTTGGTCACATATCTTGACAAATGTAATACCTTAATTCGCACGAAACAAACAGAAATACATCATGTAGAGAGAATACAGGTACACTGAACTGTTCGATCGAACACACCTATGCACAGCCGCTCGCGCCATCAGCACCTGTGGTCGTCGGTTCGCGCGTACGAAAATCGATCCTCCTACACCAATACGCCGATACACCACGTGTAGCGTCATCACGGCACTGGTGCCGAGTGATTGGTCAACAACTGTCAGCTGACCAAACGCGTGAGGTCTGTAATATTTTATGAAGTGAAATTATAGGACTCTTCATGCTGCGTAGTCTTAAAAGGTCATCCGTAGTTGTTCGCCATCTTGCCGATTCGGCAGATTGTCACACAATATCATGAACGGATAGCGATGGTGCGACAATACAGCTGACGTCACTGGCCTGCTGTTCAACAGTTTATTCATCATTTAATCACCATTGAATTTTTTCTTGTCTGTCTGAACTACTTGCTTTGTTACTTATTTCTTGTTTTTAATCGACTTTTTAATTAAGTATTCGTCGGTGTGCCTATGAGTGCATCTTCTATTCATCACTACTGCACGGTAACAAAGCGAACAGAAATTACATGGAAATGATTTTATGCAATGTATATGTAAAGAGTTTTTATTTTTATTTTTCAAAGAATGAATATGCAATTTGTATTGTTATCTATTAAGATGTGATGCTGGCAGTAGATGGCGGTTACATGACATTCATCGAGACGGAAATAATATGTCCGCACAAAAAGCATTGTAGTGGTGCATGCATACACGTGCACTGTATACACGAAACTGGTAGAGTTGGTGGTAGTAGTGCATGCACGTGCACTGTATATACGAAACTGGTAGAGTCGGTGGTAGTAGTGCATGCATACACGTGCACCGTATACACGAAACTGATAGAGTTGGTGGTAGTAGTGCATGCATGTGAACTGTATGCACAAAACTGGTAGAGTGGGTGGCAGGAGTGCATGCATACACGTGCACCGTATACACGAAACTGATAGAGTTGGTGGTAGTAGTGCATGCATGTGAACTGTATGCACAAAACTGGTAGAGTCGGTGGCAGGAGTGCATGCACGTGCACTGTATACACGAAACTGGTAGAGTTGGTGGTAGGAGTGCATGCACGTCAACTGTATACACGAAACTGGTAGAGTTGGTGGTAGGAGTGCATGCACGTCAACTGTATACACGAAACTGGTAGAGTTGGCGGTAGGAGTGCATGCACGTGAACTGTATACACGAAACTGGTAGAGTTGGTGGTAGGAGTGCATGCACGTGAACTGTATACACGAAACTGGTAGAGTTGGTGGTAGTAGTGCATGCACGTGAACTGTATGCACAAAACTGGTAGAGTCGGTGGCAGGAGTGCATGCACGTGCACTGTATACACGAAACTGGTAGAATTGGTGGTAGTAGTGCATGCACGTGAACTGTATACACGAAACTGATAGAATTGGTGGTAGGAGTGCATGCACGTGCACTGTATACACGAAACTGGTAGAGTTGGTGGTAGGAGTGCATGCACGTGAACTGTATACACGAAACTGGTAGAGTTGGTGGTAGGAGTGCATGCACGTGAACTGTATACACGAAACTGGTAGAGTTGGTGGTAGGAGTGCATGCACGTCAACTGTATACACGAAACTGGTAGAGTTGGTGGTAGGAGTGCATGCACGTGCACTGTATACACGAAACTGGTAGAGTTGGTGGTAGGAGTGCATGCACGTCAACTGTATACACGAAACTGGTAGAGTTGGTGGTAGGAGTGCATGCACGTCAACTGTATACACGAAACTGGTAGAGTTGGTGGTAGGAGTGCATGCACGTGAACTGTATACACGAAACTGGTAGAGTTGGTGGTAGTAGTGCATGCACGTGCACTGTATATACGAAACTGGTAGAGTCGGTGGTAGTAGTGCATGCATACACGTGCACCGTATACACGAAACTGATAGAGTTGGTGGTAGTAGTGCATGCACGTGAACTGTATACACGAAACTGGTAGAGTGGGTGGTAGTAGTGCATGCATACACGTGCACCGTATACACGAAACTGATAGAGTTGGTGGT